GAAGCACTTCGAGAGGAGTTGGTGGTTGCCTGGAAAGAGATACCACAGGAGGACATTGATCACCTGATCAGAAGCATGCCTAGGCGCGTTGGAGAATGAGTAGCACATCAGGGTGCATCCACACATTATTAAAGGTCAAAGGGCTTTAAAGCTGTGCAATCATTTTGAAATTTTTATCATTTACTTATTATGCTTCATTAAGTACTTATACAAAATTTTATTAAAATAAAACCATTTAAACTGGGTGTTCCGATTTATATGTCACTTAGTATAACTGTGTCCTACATGTTTTTCTACTTTAACTTCAATTTTGTGATGTCGTCAACATTGTTACATTCAATTTTCACCGCCCCATCTGTCTGATCGCTATTTTTTTTATGGAGACATTCTTTTGAACAGGATTTATATGTTTGCTGAGTACCTTCTTTGTGTGTAAACAGTTTTGACTTTTATCGTTTGGTTTTATTATAACTTTCTTTTCTTGTTGTACTGTAGAAGTAAATTTCTATTAATGTGTATATCTCTGCATGTGTTTCTGTTTTATTCGTGTTTGATAGAGTGGTAACTTCAGTAGCGTCAGTGTCTTTATCTAGATTTACTTCTTTTTCTTTGCTGTATTTCACAGCATTTGCGAATGATTTAGTTCCATTTTTTCTATTTGTAATTCGTCTAATTTCACTTGCACATATGCATTCTTCTTTTGCAGCTCTTTTATCAACAAATCTTGTATCTGAATTGAATAATCCTTCATTTTTATCATATCTTTCACTTGAAATCCCTTTTCATTTTCTTTTTCGGCTTTTTTTGTGTTTCTATTTTTGTTTTTGATTTCGTTTGACATAGCTTTTTTAATGTAGAGAATTGGGTCACCAGTGACAAAAAATGGTCAGTTATGTCACTGATCTACTTCGAACCATTTATCTTCTAGAAATCTTCCCCAATAATCTCCAACTTTTCTCAGAAAGATGGCAGTATAAAAAATTCGGCCTCAAAACCACCTAATTACGTTCTTATACAAGGAGTAATTTCAATTCAATGAACTGTACCGAGCAAAACGTTTATAACTTGATGTGCTGATTTTATCACCATCGGTGGAAATCAAAGATAATTCTAAAATAATTTTAATCAGAATGAGAACAAAATATTAAATCAAATGTTCGAACAAACATCCTTCTTGGTTTGACAGTAACCTAACCTACTGTAGAAGCTTGTGCGAAGATTTTCTGGTGTAACGCAGTAGATTGCACGACCTTCCGCGTCACCATTGCAAGGCACTCTAGTGATGACCTTTGCTCTTCAGCCTGCTTGTATCTCTGTCTAACATGTGTTGATACACGCTTCTCGCGTTTGTCTCAATTCGTAAGGCACATTTGGTTTTAACTGCATTCCTTCATTATGCTTGTGCTGCTCTTTTCAAATTATGTAAGAAATATCATGTGAATCGTCTAACACTCAGTTATCTGCAAACACTCGCACTTTTTTAAATATAACATACCAAATTTGATAAAAGCGATATCCATTATAATTTTGAGGGGTTCTTTTGGAATATTTTTTATTTTCCTGTTCTTGTGCAATTACAGAAATGTAATAATGTTTTGAGAACTTGGGAAGGCAACTTTGTAAAGTTGCAATGCAGTTCAGAGTGTTTTCATTTGTTTCACTACTTCCGTTAATCTTGGTTCAACTCAAGTACATTGATTCCACTTTAGATTTAGAGACTTTGTAAACATCAATAAAATTATGTGACAACCAGTTTAGCTTTCAAAAACAAAAAAAAAACACCATAGTTTCTATTTTCACATTACTCCAACAGTTTTACTCAAATTCAAACGATAAACATATTTCAGTTGCTGTTTTTTGTGACTTTTACAAAGCTTTTGATTGTGTAGATCACTGTTGAAAACTTAAACAAACATAGTTGTATTGGAACTTTACTTAATTGGTTTAAAACATATTTGATTAATCGATCCCAAATTGTAATAAAAGCAGATCGGTACTAGGACTGATCCTATTTTTAGTTTATATTAACGATTGAATAAAATTTATAGTTTTTGCTTCCACAATACTTTGTCAGATATAGATGAAATTGTGAAAAAAATTGACAATGATATACAATCAGTCAAAGGATGGTGTGATAACAAGCACTCAACTTTCAATGTTAGTAAGACCAAGTTTATGACATTGAAATGCTCCATTGATTCTTGAATTAAAAAAATGATTTGGTACACAAAAGAGACATCATCAAATTTTTCGGACTGACCATTGATCATAAATTAAATTTTAGACTAATTGTTTACTCAACTATCAAAGATTTCCTTTATTAGTTACAACTTAGGAAAAGCACAGCCTTAAGCAATTAATTTGCCTTACTTAAAAGTAGCTTTAGATATATAGTATTCCCTTTGGTGTGTCCCAAAATTGCTTATTCTACAAATATTAGATATATAATCAAAGGCAATCCTAGAGCTACATACATGCCTTTGTTTTTAAATGCTAAAATAATGACTGTCGTATATTTGTTTATTTTTGAAACAGCAACTATTATTTTTAAAAATAAATCTGAATTTGAACCATAAAATATTTGTTGGTTTGTTTCAGATTTATTCAGCATTAATGCTACAATATCCATAATATCCATATTACACAGTATATCATAAAATATATTATGACTTCAGTACTATATATTTTTATACAAAATTTCACAACTATGAATTCTGGTTTTCCACGAGATATTTTTTCAATTTCCCTTTGAACATTTTCAAACTGACACACATATTGATATTACTTAATTTTTTAATTTATTAAATTCTTACAATCCTTTTTGAAATACTGACTTTCTCGTTATATTGCTACCGCAGTTTTGTAAATAAAAGTATATACTTCCTCTAGTAGAATAATAATTGTGGCAGTCATTGTTCAATACAATAAAATTTTCTAAGTTATTTGGTAGAAGATGATTTTTTGATATTCAACCATTGTAGTTCTTTCAGCATAAAATTGATTCTAGTATATTTATTTGTATTTAAGATGATTCTCATAGCTTTATTTTGTAATATTTGTAATTTTGAAAATACAGTTTCATCAAACAATATAACAATTGAGGAAGAATGATAGTGTTGTACACATTTTTTTTAGAAGAATTTATTTTCTTGGATATTTTTGAAACAATATATTCATAGTGCCCAATTTTAATTTATTGTCTACGTATATGCCCAAATATTTAAATGATTCGATTGACACAATTTTTTCATGATTAATTGTAAGATTTATCGTATTTTGATCTAAAGATTTTCCTATTAGCATATATTTTGTTTTGTTTGTGTTTAGTTTAAGTTTATTTACATTTAACGTTTTTCAAATCATTATTTAACAGCTCTATTGCAGTCTCAGTGTCGTTAATTTGATATATATATATATATATATATATATTGGGGTTTTCCTTTACACGACGTGTAGATCTTGAAAACATAAGCAATTTTTCTTAGTACCACATACACCAATGTCTTAAGGGAACCGAGATAAAGGGCTCTGCAACATCAAAAATATCTGAATACCGTCCTGTAGCCGCGACATCCCCGACTGGTACTAGGACACTAGCTCAACCCGACGACAGAACTGGGTCGGGGTGAGTGTGTCAGGTCAGTATGCAACCTTCAACCGACGGTTACGGTCACGCGTCTAGAGGTAATCGCGTAGACGAGAATCCCTCAACAAGCACTAGAGACGTGGCTAGAGAAGTGCAAGTATCAAAAACTAAAGTGTGGCAAACGCTGCGTGAAGAGGGGCTGTATCCGTTTCACGTCCAACATGTACAAGCCCTTCAACCTGACGATTTTCCAGCAATAGTGCGGTTTTGTGAGTGGTTGTTGCATCAACATGACAATAATCCGGACTTTTTGAAGTGCATATTGGTGACAGACGAATCTACGTTCACGCATAATGGGGTGAATAACTTTCGCAACACTCATGTTTGGTCAGTAGAAAATCCGCACGCTGTCCGTCGGGCACATTTTCAACAAACATTTTCGGTGAATGTTTGGGCTGGCATGGTGAACGGTATGCTCATTGGACCATTTGTTCTCCCAAATCGATTGGATGGGATGCAATACCTAAACTTTTTACGCAACATTTTGCCTTCCTTGTTTGCCTGCGTCTGCTCGGTAGCGCATCAGCTGATTTCATTTTCTGTTGGAGCGGTATGATTTCGGGCAGAGACGTACTTAGCCCTTCTCGTCAACTGGAGAGTGAGTACTTTTTCCTTTATTTTTTTTTACTTGGTCGCCCTCGTTTCACTACACATTACCTGTGTTATTTCAAGGGTAGTTGTTTCTGAAAAGGAAAACCCCAACTTTGCGGACATCCTGTATATATATATATATATATATATATATATATATATATATATTAATGTCTCATCAGCAAATAGTTGAATTTTGCAGTGTTGCAAAATATGAGGAATATCGTTAATAAATAAAATACATAGTAGTGGACTTAATTTGCTACCCTGTGGCACACCTACCGAAATGTTTTTAATGTTTGATAATGTATTGCCAATTTTAGTTCTTTGACTTCTATTGATTAAATAATTTTGTAATAAGTTGAATACTGAACGTTGAAATCCATAGCAAAGCAATTTCGTTAACAATTTCTCCCTGTCAATAATCTCAAATCCTCTCTTGAAATCTAAGAACAATGTTACTGGGAGAAACAATATTTTTTAGTGTCTTCCACATCATTTTACTGTTATTTTTATTGCTATCGATTTTGTTTTCATAATATTTTTTCTTTTCGTTCCTAAGATTTGTTAAACACTTGTTTCTTAATTTCTTATATTGTATCCGAATAAATTACAGTATTAGACAAAAACAACACTTGTGAAAAATTCAATCACTTATAGTCGTCTGAAAATTCACATGTGCCTCCTGATGATCAAATGAATCAACAGTTCAAAGATATTTTGCCTGTTTCAATAAGTATTAAAAAAACTATATATTTATTAGGCACGCAGTTATCTTCAGTCTCTTCCATACAAACCAAAAGTGCCATGGTCGAAGTTGTACCCGAATGCGGACCCAAAAGCGCTGGACTTGCTGGACAAGATGCTCACTTTCAACCCACACAAGAGGATAGTCGTCGAAGATGCGTTGGCACATCCATATTTGGAGCAGTATTACGATCCAGCGGACGAGGTTAGTCATAATTTGGGTTATCTTATGAATTCAATCAACAAATCTTTGTAAATGCGTAACAAATAAAGTATTGTTTCTCCTAGAATTGCTAGGATATAAGATGGTGCTAAGGTGTCATCTTAGAGCGGGGTAGCGACGACGATTTAAATCAAATGGTTTAAATCAGGGCTGTCCAACATACGGTCCGCCCCCGCTTCACGGGTCATGTGTACATCACATGTATAAACTACTCTCAAATATCGAATATGCACAATTCTTACATTAACGATAAAATACAATAACATGCGACGCCACTGGCGACCGATAGCAGGCCGCAGCGAATTTACTGGAAATTGGACCGATCTCTCGATCATCCCCGAATATAAGAAGGTTGAATCAAGCGGGACAGGCAGTTTTGTTCTAGTGCTAGTGCGTTTCAGTACACAGCAACTCTAAAGCCTTTTTAAGTGAAATACTCCGTGAAATATGTCTTCACAGAAACGAAAAATTACGAATGAACATCGAGTTTATAACGACCGTTGGGAATCAGTAAATGTAATCTCAAACAATAATAATAAACTTCAGTGCATTGTTTGTATGCAAGTACTATCGGTTCCTAAAGAATATAATATGAAACGACATTACACTACGTTACACGAGAAAACGTTTCGGCAATATTCAGGGGACGGAATACAAGAAAAAACTAAAACAACAAACAAGTTTTTCAAAAAATCTGACTCTGATAACAAGTGCAGTATTGCCGCCTCTTACAAAACAGCGCTGGAAATTTCCAAAGCAAAAAACCTTTTAGTGATGGAGTGCTTATCAAAAAGTGTGCAATAGAAATGGCGAAACAATTCAATGAATTAAAAGTTGCCGAAAAATTTGAAACAGTCTCAGTGTCGCATCAAACAATTGCAAGACGGGTGGACAATATCAATGAACATGTATCCAAAAAATTGCGTGACGTGGTTGAAAAATGTAAATATTTTTCGCTATGCCTGGATGAAAGCACTGATCTGTCTGACATTAGCCAGCTTGTAATTTTTATCCGAACTATTCAAGACGACTTCAGTGTAGCAGAGGATATTGCTTGACCTTATTCCTCTCCATGGTACAACCAAGGGTACAGATATTTTTGAAGCTGTGAATAAGTTGGTGTCAGACTACGGGGGATTTGATAAATGTTCCTGTATTGTCACTGATGACGCCAGAGCTATGACAGGGACTGAAATTTGATTTGCAGGACTATTGAAACAAAACAGCATCAACTGTCCTATGATACATTGTATTGTTCACCAAGAGAGATTATGTGGAAAATCTTTACGTCAAATAAATGTCATGAAAGTGGCTGTTAAAATAACTCATATTGTTAGAGGAGGCAATCGTGCTTTGACTCACAGAAAGTTTCGTGATTTTTTAGCCGAAGTGGATGCTACATATGGAGACTTGTTACTTCACACCGATGTTCGTTGGTTAAGCGCCGGAAAGTGTTTACAACGATTTTTCGCTCTACGCCAGGAAATTCCTATTTTCCTTAAAAATGAAGTCCGACACTACGGAACTGGAAAATCAAATGGCAGATGCACAATTTTTAGCAGACCTTGCATTTTTAACAGACATGACATCTCACCTTAACGAATTGAATTTGAAGCTACAAGGAAAACAGCAGAATATTGCCAACTTATTTGGACACATAAATGGGTATAAGAATAAAATTAAGCTTTTCAAGTCTTCATTACAAAAAAATGATTTTTCATTTTTTCCAAGTTGTAAAGAACATTTCGAAGAAATGAAGGATTTTGAGGAAGTTTCATATTTACCTTATATAAAATACATTGACACAATTGCAGAAGAATTCAAAAATGGATTTAGTGACTTTAAAAAAATCGAAAGCGACATTTCAGTTTTTACTCAGCCACTAACAATTTCTGTTGAGAACGTAAGCGGAGCAGACCTTCAACTGGAATTGTGTGATTTGCAATCAGTTCCTTTTTACCAATGAAGAACTGAAACTGGCTTGGACTTTTTTAAGTTACTGCCAGGAGAACGATACCCCAACTTGCGAAACTTAGGACTTACAATGGGATCAATGATGGGAAGCACGTATCTTTGCGAAATCAGCTTTTCCAACATGAAATTTATCAAGTCAAAGTATAGATGTTCCCTCTCTGATAAGTCACTTACTCAGTTACTTCGTTTATCAACAACAAACATTAATGTTAATATTGATGCATTAGTATTAGAAAACCAACATCCTCAAATGTAGCACTGATTTTTTTGTAATTTCATATTTTTTTAATAAATAAAAATAATAGAAAAATTATTTTTGTATACCATATAGTATAGTATATACCTACTAAAACTCAGTAATAATGTTGTATAGAAAGATTTTATAATGCGGCCCACCAAACTGCATTTTTTTTTGAAGTGGCCCTTGGGCCACATTAAGTTGGACAGCCCTGATTTAAATAATAATTTAAAACAATTGACTATTTCAATTTTAATCGTGATATAAATCAAATTATAAATTGCTGTCGCCGGTGCAAGTAACTGAACACTCATCAGGAAATGCAAAAAAGGAAGATACTTTTTTCTAAAAATTATTTTTAATATGTAATTCTGGATGGTTTTTAAAGGTTTTAATGCTGTCTCATATAAGCTTCCCCAGACGATTAACCCGCATCTGAGCAATGACCCCACTAGGGCTTTATAGACACAGATTAATAAGTGATTGTTTAAAATTTCTCTGATCATGTAAAATTTTCTAATTAGTTTTCCTAGATTGTTAGTTAACCTAAGCACATGTTGCTTCCATTTAAAATGTTGATCTATTATTACACCAAGGTATTTGGTGTATGTTACCTCTTTTATTTCATTTCCAAAACCGTTTACTTGTATGCTGTTAAGATTTGGTCGATTTGCTGATGTTAAGGAAAAGGCTATGTAATTAGTTTTATCCACATTTAAACTAAGTTTAGATGAATCAAGCCAACATTTTATTTTTCCTAATCCAAGAGATGTTTTTTCATATACCTCTTCCGATGTATCCGCCACAAAGACCACGACGGTGTCATCAGCGTATGAAACCACCATACCATTTTCTAGAATAATATCTGTCAAAGAGTTCATATATAATATAAATAGTAATGGCCCAGTAACGGTGCCCTGAGGCATGCCCATTTCTATTTCTGACGAGTCTCTGATCACATTTCCAATTTTAGTCATATGTATTCTACCTGTCAGGTAACTCGCAAAGACCTCCTACACAACACTCCTGATTTCATAAATATCGAGGACATCTAGAAGGGAATCAAATGCCTTTGCAAGGTCTAGGAAGGCCGCAATGCATTTCTTTCCTTGATCAAAATTTTTTGAAATGGTTCTTGTAAGCTTAAGTATCGCATGTGAGGTACTGATGCCATTGCGAAGACTAAATTGATTTTCTGACAAAACATTATTACTAGATAAACAGCTTGATAATCTCTCTTTAAGACACTTTTCGAATATTTTAGCGAAATTCGTAATAACTCCAATTGGACGAAAATTTGTAATTTTAGTTTTATCTCCAGATTTATATATTGGGGTAACAATAGTGGTTTTATATCATTGGGGTACACAGCCAGTTTTAAAAATTAGATTTATGATGTGTACTCAATTAAGAACAAATGATATTTCTTTATAATTTTTGTTAGTATTCCATCAAAACCGGGTGAACAATTGTTTTTCAATGAACTGATATGTTTAATAATCTCATTTCTGTTGACAGGCTTTAAAAACATGGAACTTAATGATTTATATCTAATTTTGAAGGGAATATCAGGGGGTTTTATTTTGCAAGCCATTTTCTTCTAATGAACATTGTTGCAGTATTCACTCATTTGTTTATCATTTGTGAATGTTTTGTTATTATCTTCACTAATTTCAATTTTGCTAGATTGTTTACTTTTTTTCATTAACAGCATCAGAAATAATTTTGTAAATCTTTTTAAAATTTCCATTGATTTGTTCCTTATAATAGTAAAATTTTTGTTTATTAATTATTTTATTTAGGTTGTTTCTGTAGTTTACATTCGTATCCCTATCCAATAAGTTATTATTATTAAAGCGTTTTTTTCAATTTATCCCGTTTATTTATAACTAAAATTAGTCCATTAGTAATCCATGGTTTAAGTTTTCTATGCTCGTTATAATATACCGCTTTTTGAATGGTTGACCTTTTAATAGATAGACAGATAGATAGATAGATAGTTTATTGTCCTATTAGATCTTGTTACATGATATAAGACTTGTTAATATCAATTTGAGGGTCATATATGCGTTTGAGCAAATATGCCAGAAAAATACTTATAATTATAAAATAAATAAGGACATTACAATTACAAAACATTTTAAAAGGTTAAATCACATTATAGGTACAGATACAGTGCAAGAATCGTAATGTGTAAAAGTATATACATATACAGCGACTTTTTTATCACAAAAAATGTTCGTCTAGCCGGTAAAAATCATTGAAGCTGATACAAAGAAAAGAAAAGCGGTAGGAGAATCTGTTAGAAATACATAATATATAAACACAATAAACATCGAGCAGTGAGGACAAATGGTTAAAAGCTTAAAAAGAAAACATACATACTTTCGTTAAAACTCGAATAAAAAGTGAAATTAAAATACATTTACTCCACGATAATAGACTATTCACTGATAACGAAATGATTAACAGCTTAAAAGAATTTAAAAAACAGATACTCATGTGTTAGTAAAACTCAGGTAGAGAGTAATAGCATTTTTCAACCAGATATTTCCTGAGATGTTGTTTCAGCGCAAGGATATTAGTGCTTCTCCGCAACTCACTCGGCAGATTATTGTATACCTTAGTGCACGCTAGAGTGGGAGATTTTTGGAATAAGCATATCAATTTTAATATTAAGATTGTTTGCTGCAACTTCCAAGTTATTTACGTCCAAGATCTCTCTCCATCTTTGCTGCTTAATTAAATTCTCAAAAGTTTGATAATTCAA